CCAATGCTTATGCTGATGCTGATGCTAAAGTTGATGCCGAATGCTGAATGCTGAACCTGAGTCCAAAGTCAGAGCCAAAGTCAGAGGCTGAGTCCTAAGCCATCCACATCTAGCATTGTCAGGCTTTGTGCCGTCCGCCGTTTGCCGTTTGGCGTGGCATGCGAAATAAAACTCTCGTAAACAGACAGCGACGTTTCTAAACTGCCAGCATCTGCGGAACAAGAAGCTGACTTAACTCTTAGGAGGCAAATGATTTGTGGATACTCTATATGTGCGAAGGGTTGCATATATTAGATCATAAGTTTTCTTAGTGTATAAAACACCATGGCAGTCAGAACGGACGTCGTCTGATCACAGAAACTGCAAACGAACTCCGAAATCAAAATATAATTATTTGGCAATTGAGAAAACAAAAAAAACCTGTCCGGCTATTAAATATTATTAAATATTATTATTAATAATTATTATTATTAATTATTATTATTAAATATTATCGAAATTACTGGCATTAATAAATTTTGCCTTTTAAAAAGCTTAATTATACAAAACAAAACAGAAAGTTGTTGAACTGAAGAATATTATTGGTTTATCATAAAAATACTAATGAATCTATATTTCTTTTTGCTGATATAATTGTTCAGAAAATAAATTAATAATATTTATTAATAAATGAAATAAATAAATTAAATATCAATAAATTAAACTCGGTTTTATGCTAATAATTTCCAAATGCATATTCCAAATCCTTTTTTAAATTTAATGAAGTATTGTTAGTTTGGTCAATAATACAAAACAGCATCTAAAAAATGTTTTAAAGCTTACAAATTTTATTTATTTATCATATATAGAATACTTACCTTTAGGAGGTACCAATACATTCTGCATATAAAAGAAAGAATCTAACAGAAATATACATAGCAATAAATTAAATTTCGACTTTGTGGACTATTTGGTAATAGTTCCCTAGAGCAAAATGCTTTAGCTTGGATATTTCCACCTGATGTAGGGTATTTAGTACGCCGCAAAGGAGGCAGCATCCACAACAGAAACAACAACAACATCAGACGACTGACAACAAGCACTGCGAAGAACAAGCAACCGGCAAACAACAAAACAACAAATACAACAACCGAGACGAGACGAGAAACCTTCTATTCGCCGCTGAGCTGCAGGAATTACGCAAATCTCGTTTGTTGAATGTGTTTTTCAGTTAGGTGAAGATGCGCCAATATGGGATGAGCAGAGGGAGTTGGAAAAAGATGGCTTAGAGGGGGTCTCGTTTCCTACGGGGACATAAATCTGCTTTAGCATTTGGGCTTGGGCTTGGGCTGCCTGGTTTTTGTGCATAACGACGACACGATGTTGCTGCCAATGCTTTTCTTTCATTTTGTCGCCGTTTTGTCTGTGACATTGCATTCGCTCTGTCCTTCTCCATTTTGTCTGTTTTAGCCTCGTTTGTTTGCTTTTTCAGGCTTTTATTTTTGTTTCTCTTAGCTTTTTTTGCCTACCCTGAGCTTAAGACTCATAATGCCGTTATAAACACAAACGAAAGCAGCTCTCTGCATTTGGTTTTTTTTTTTGCTTTTTCCTCGGAGTTGTGTATTTTTTGTTGTCAGAGGTCAGCGCACGTTTAAGCCAAGCATCGCAATTATACGCACAATGCAATTGGAGAAGAGGCTGCCTCGCAAAAGAGAAAAAAACTCACATAGAGGGCATTAAGTATACGACCCGTGGATGGCAAAACCTTTTGGGAGCAGATGTCGAGCATCGTTTCCAACATCTGACCTGACCCTCATTGCTAGCGACTTGGATTTGCTGTTTTTATTTTATTTTTCATTTCTGCCAGCTTTGTTTTTATTTTTTGCTGCATGGGCAATAAGCTGGCGTTTCTTCTTCAAGCCGACTACTTGCAGTTTAAATGGCAGCAAATGAGCATACAATGGAAATAGGATATAATCTGACTGGACTTACTTTAATTCTGGCATTTTAAAAAATTTTAAAGCGCTAACATTTTACCAGTAGTGGATAATTGTAAAAACTGTGTTGTGTGTGCTCGACGTGGGACTATTTTTATATTAGGAGAAAAGTGAAGTTGATATCAAAAAGTCTTTGACATGTTATTTGAAAACATGTGTTAATTATGTTAAAGCGCGGCGACTTGCAGCAGATTTCTGAACACGCAAAAAGTCCGGAATTGGGTTAGTCACGTAGTTATAGTTTACGTTTTAGCTGGAACGCGATGCTGGGATTTTCGCCCCCGAAAACTGTCCCCCGAGGGTGGCGAAAATACAAGTTACTGGGGTTGGCTGGCTGGCTGGTGGCCAGACATGTGTGCTATATTTTCCGCTTTACCACTTGGCGTTCTCTAATTAAGTTGCATGGCAAAAACTTCCGCTTTTCTGTGTAGTGTTGCCGTCAGCTGACAAGAAAAGCAGGCAATCGAGGTTGAGGGGCGAAAAATGTAAGCTCATTAAGTGTACTTGGCCAGGATTCGATGTCCTTTGGCTACAAGGGACGTACTTCCAGCAACATCAAAGTAAGCATAATTTGATTAAGACATTTTAGCCAAAGACCTAATCATCATTAGCATCAACTCAACGTAATCATAGCAAGGCACATCCGGCGTCTCCTTAATTTTGTTTTTTTTCTTCATCCTCGTCTCTTTTTGCTGCGCTGTCAGCATCAGGATCATCTATAGCCTTCATCCTTTGATGCCACAGACATCATCTACGTCACTGGTTCGAGCGAAATCTAATTTATTGAACTCTGTCAGTGAGTGAGTTGTGTGGAAATTGGCGTCGGGGGAAAATGGTTACGCCCCTTAGAAAATACTTGTCCGGATCTGCAGAACCTTTTGGGATCTAAACACTTTTGTTTGCACAAGTTTTCCCTGGCAAAACCCCTGTGATTAATTGCGGTCCCTTTTATGTTTACGTTGATTTTTGGCTATAACTTAGACTCTGAACGACTAGTTCATTAGGTGGGGTGTTATTTGGGGTGTCTATTAGTTGGAATTCCTGAAACTTGAAAAGGAAATTGAACACCTCTGGATCGATATAAAGATGCTTCACTCGTTTTCGGAACACTTTAAGGGATAAAGTATGGCACCACTCTCACATCATCTAGAATTCCATTTACGTGTACATGCATTATTAGCTCCTCCTGTCACTAAGTAAACGGCAAACCGACAATATGATGAACGCTCATGGTTCTTATGTATTTTTAAAATGCACTTTTCCACTCGTGTTGTGTTTCATGGTAAAAACATTGACAGCAAAGCAAAAGAAGCAGCAACAGGAACAACAGCTTTAGGAGAAAGGATGACAACAATAAGGAAGCGCCTTGTGTAGAAAATTTTACAGACCATTGTTTTAATGTCCTTGTCCACGTTCACTTCACGTATTTGTAATGCAATTTCAGCAGCAGGACTGCAGGATGATGTCCTATGCAAAAGTGCAACATCACGTTCACTTTGCCTTCCCACTGCTCCTGTCACTGTCACTGTGTCACTTCGTCCTGTTAACGACTGTCATCTAATGCAGTCAGCACAAATGCAATTAGTTTATGACACACACGCACACAGAATCAGAACCCTCGTCCTGTGGCCCAGAGCTCATTCAAAAATCAACTCACCTCGACCTTTGCAAACTGAATGTGCTGACATATAGAGATTATCGCTATGTTCTCAGCTCGTATTTGGGATTGGAATATATGGGAAAGCAGGTGAATTTTTAATTTAGGTGTAAATAATAATGTAAATTAAAGTCTGTTAATGGCATGTGCTTAATATCGAGGGTAAACTACGTATAAAGAACAAATAAGAATCCCTTTGATATAAATATACACTTATAGAACAAACAACATAAAGAAATAAATAGAAACATGTATATCAAATATCATTTGCAATATACACATTCATACCATCCACACTTCGACTCCATCTTTTGGCATTTACAATTCCCAGACGGCAAGTTAAGCAGCTCGATTTCGAACTGAAAACCTTGGGGTCAGCAGAAAGTTTAACATAAATTCAAAACGAGTTGCGAGTAAACTGGCAGTTACACCGAGTTCTCATTCCTTCAATCCCAGTGTGTTCACACTTGCCAGCCATTAAGTTTATTACGCAACAACAACAAAGCAGGCCAATATGCATGCAAAGGGGAAATGCCGTGTGCAGGATGTGGATGTGGATGCCCCCAAAGGAATCCTTCGACCAGGCAGAAATACCATAAATAAAACATGGCAGCGGGTCGAATATACAACAAAAGGCAAAAGTCAGTGTCTGTTGGTCAGTTTCCAAAAAACAAAATAAAAAAAACACATGAGACTGAGACACACTGCAGACAGCCGAAGGGGAAAAGGGGCGTAGGGGAGTAGGGAAAATCAGGGGGCGTGGCAGCTGCCTTTGCGGTTAACAATAGCACACCCACGGCCATAGTTTGGGTGCTTTTTGCGGTTCCTGCAGCTGCGGCCACTTTTTCGGGGCGGCGTGCGAGTTCGTTCGAGTTCTCTCCCCAGAGAATAAACTCAATTTATTATTGCCACTAGACAGACAGACCGTCCAAAAGGGGAGAAAAAAGGGAATTGGCATTTTAAAGCTTTAACAAATTAAATTAAACCAACAGCAAAATTGTTGATTGCCCGACTTTGGCCGCCTTCGATTTGCCATAAATTGTTTGGGGTGATTTTCTTATTTCCCCATTTTATTTTATCAGAGGCACACAAAAAAAGGCAGCCAGCAATTTTCCAATTGAATAATTGTCACTGGGAAGTTTTCACTTTTGCCGGCGCAGGACTTAGCCAACCGGATAGAAAAGCTGGGGGCGCAGGACAAAAACGAAAATGAAAACGAGGACCGTGTCTGTGGCCATTCAATGGCTCAACAGTTTGCCAGTGTTTCCAGTGTTTGCCTTTGCTCCTCCTTTGCTCCTTTTTCCCCCTTTCGTTTTATCCTCGAGCCTTTGCTCTGTTTTAACAGCAATTTTCTTGTCTATTTTCAGGATGATTTGCCGGGCCAGGCTCTGCTGGATGTCGTCTTTGCCAGGCTCAATTTAATCGAGACCTCATACTTTGGCATACGTTATATAGACGAGGAGAATCAGACGGTAAGTGTGTGTGGCAAAAAAAAAAGGGAGACCGCTTCCGCTGGGCAAAAACATTGGTTTTGGAAATTCATTTTCGTTTTCATTGAAATTCATTCAGGCGCAATGAAAAACGAAAACAAAAAGGCACCAGACTAAGGTAACTCTTTGAGTATCCTTTGACTGCGGGGCAAGTAATATAATTTCGATTTCATTGGTTCAGGAAAATGTGTTGTTCCCTCGATTTAATCCATATTTTGTATCTTTACCCATAGCACTGGCTGGATCCTGCGTCTCGTATTTCGCGACAACTCAAGCCCAAGTCGGACCCATATGACTTGTATTTCGGCGTCAAGTTCTATGCTGCTGATCCCTGTAAGCTGCTAGAGGAAATAACTAGGTGAGTAATAACCACATAAAATATATCGAGTCCAATTGAAGGGATTGTTCAAAATTAAATTAAGCTTTAAGATACAGATACATACAAAGGTATATACCTTTAAAATGTAGATTTCCCATTTTGAGTAGGTAGATTTCCCACTTCAAGAAGGTTTTTTTTACCCTGCACATGCATTAACTATTTAAGCATTTAATTTGTGCCATCCCAACTTTTGGTCTGCCATAAATTCGTTAAATTGAATTTGGCAAATTTAATTTGTTAATTGAGGCACACACAGACGCATAATTATAATGCAATAAACAACAAATGAAGCGAATTGAGATGCACGAGTTGAGTACTGTGAACTCGGGCTGCCCACTCAACTAATGGATAATGCATCGAGCAATTAATGCATTTATGCGAGCACATCAAGCGAGATAAATTAAAATAACGCCAGTGGAAAAGGCCAACACAACACTCACATGCCCACACGCACAGAGAACGCCAAATGTCGCAAATGTAAAAGGGAAATTGTGGGGTAAGTGCGGAAAAGTGACCCAGGCCATGGCTTTTCATCGCCACGTCATCGGGACGTCCAGTGGTGTCTGGTTATCCTGGGGGCAATTGCAGCATTTATCAAGCATTTGGTGTGTGCAAATATTTGCTCTCCATACGACGACACGTTCGCCATAATCATTGGGGGGAAAAACCGGGCAAAACCCAATGGCCAAACATCATCAAAATCCTTGCCAACTGCCGCTGAATCCACTGCTAATATTAGCGCATATAAATGCATCGAAATGCACTTCTAGTCAAGTGGAAATTTGCGGGGGTGCAATTGCCGTTGCCATTGCCGTTGCATTATTGGAAGTGCACTAGAGGGCCAAAGAATATTGTGTTATTTTAGCTATACAAAGTCTGCGGCATACAATAAACGCCAATTGACTTTAGACAGGACAAAGTTGAAAATAATGAACAGTGGTGCAGGGGATTTTCAAACAGACAGACAGGATTAAGGCAAACAGGCAGCTTGAAGTTCGAAACTGCGCTTGATTTTAACAAATAATTGTGCGATATGATGCTGCCAACCTATTTCGTCTGCCATTTTATTTGTTTCGTTTCATGATTTTCATGTTACGCCCAAAGTCAACAAGTCAGTCGACTCTGTTTGCTTTGCACAAACATTCAAGGGGATCAACTAATTTTATGCCCAGATTTTGTTTGTCCACTTGTTAACTGCTTCTTGTCCTTGTTTTCGAATTTTTGTTGGCTAATGAAATTTGTCATTTACAGGTATCAACTTTTTCTGCAAGTCAAACAGGATGTTCTGCAGGGACGACTGCCTGTGGCCTTTGAACTCGCCGCCGAACTCGGAGCCTTTGTGGTGCAATGTAAGTAATAAAATACCAAGCTAAATCTCAGAAAGCCTTTGCAACCAAATACGAGTTGAATTTTACGGTATTTTATACGGCTGTTCTAAAGCCTCTTTTGCAATTTACGGATATTTCAATCTATTGCAAACATTTTTTGTTATAGGTTTAAGTTTGGTCAAGAAACATTAATTATTTAGTTGAAAAATTGTCAAAAATATAAGAAAGGTAGGCAATTTTTAAATTCTTTAGAAACTTATTGACTAAGAGTCATTGATTTTCTTAAATATAATCGCAAAGGTTATCGTTTCTCCAATCACAATTAATTTTTTTATTGATCTCTAGCCGAGTTGGGTGACTATGATCAGCGGCGCCACTCGAAAGGCTATGTGTCCGAATTCCGACTTCTGCCAAACCAGAGCAACGAGCTGGAAACCCGCGTCTCTGAACTCCATCAGCAGCTAAAGGGAATGTCGCCCTCCAGTGCCGAACTTAACTATCTGGACAAAGTCAAATGGCATGATATGTACGGCGTGGATTTGCATCCCGTTCTGGTAAGTTATGTGATGCTGATGCTCATGCTGATGCTGCTCATGTGTCAAACCAAATCGAATGAACTTGGGGAGACAATGGGGACTGCCCAGCTCATATGATACAAAGTTCTGAAACCGCAGATGGTTCACCAGACAGCCGGGCTGCTTCAACATTCAACGAGCCGGATAAAAGGGGTCAACGGGGAAATGCAAAGTTTAATTTCATTTCAAGGCAAATATTATAAATCATTTGCTCACATTTCAGTGGGGTCCAAAATGGGTGGTGTTTCACGGAGGGTGGTTAATGATTACCCCCGAAAAACGAAAAGTCTCGTGTGTCTACGCTTTTGTGCTGCGTAAGTTGGCACTTCATTTGCATTTTTTATTGCCCTTTACTTTGATATCAAACCTCAATAAATCACCAGCTGTGTTTGTATAAATATATGGTGGGTTGGGGCATGGCATCCAAACCCGAACCCTTGTACTCCATGTGGTATGTGGTATGTGCCATAATATAGACTATATGGCCATTGCCACCCCCTCTTTCTTTCACTCACTCGCTGCCCTTGTGTTTGTTTATAGACACAAATCATTGACTATCGCGGCGCCAAACCGCCGTCTTTTATATGCTTTGCCGCTGTTCTCCTTCTTTTTTAATTTAATTAACAGCTAAAATTACATTTATTTCGGCTTTTCTGGGCGGGTATTATAAGAACGAGGTATCCATAAAAATGCCGCCTGCTGGTAATGGGCGAAAACTTTCTTCTTGTTAACACATTTTTTGGCACTGGCCGAAAGGAAACTTTTCGCTCGTTGCCTTTTGTTTGCCAAAGTTTCTCATTTTCCTCTCTATTTTCTCCGCCTTTCCCCCTTTTTCCCGCAGGGCGAGGACAGCGTGGAGTATTTCCTGGGCTTAACTCCTAGCGGGATTGTCGTGCTGCGCAACAAGACGACGGTGGCTCATTACTATTGGCCGCGCATTGCCAAAGTTTATTATAAAGGACGCTATTTTATGCTCAGGATAAGCGATAAAAATGTAAATTCTCAAACGCACCCAACGCGACAACGGGAACTGGAAAACTGCGAGCTGTTGGTAACTGGGAATGCGAAACGACTATGGCGATGAGAATGAGGATGAGGATCCCCAATCCGTATCCCATCCCAGCCATAAATTTGTTTGCCGACAAGTGCTTTTTACAATTTGCAGTTCGTTCCGCGCGTGAATGGTCGAAAGTTAGCACTAAAGGGTAGTAGACCCATAAAAAATTCGAGTAGGACGGAGTTTGGAGATGTCAATTAGATGACTCAAAAAAAAGATGCGCCGAAATCTATGTTTCTAACATTGCTATGTTTCTAACATTGCTATGTTTCTAACATTGCTATGTTTCTAACATTCTAAGCTCTTACTTTTTAATATTGAGGCTCACAAACACTTATTTGTACTATGATCTTCAGAGGCTCAAAAACATCATTGATGATATGATCACTTGACTTACAAATTTTTTCATTAACAATTATATTTAAAGCTAGAAATTCAGTAGGTTTTGAAACCATAAAAATTAAACATCCAGCCAACTAATAAAATTTCTTTCAGCAAGAAGAGTTCAGTAAAATTCTAAAGAATTAATCCGCTTTCAAGACGCCATCAGAGCCTCCAGGGCATCCAATCTTCTGCAGCTCCTTTAGAGTATTTTCAATTTCTTATTCCCATTTTGCAGTGTCGCCAATTTTTCTGGGTGCTCCTTATGGTGACAACTTTTGGTTGTCAGCGGCATCAAGTGGCGCCAGGAGCCAAAAAAGCGGAGGAGGACTCGTTAGACAACAAGTAGCTGGTAGCTGGTAGCTTAGTAGTAGCAGATAGCAGATAGAAGACGCTGAATGGCTGAAGCTGCTGAAACTTGCACACTTTCGGGTGTTAACGCTTTGATAATCAAAAAAGTTTCCTAGCCAGTTGACGCGCACAAAAGGCGGAAACTTAAGCATTTTCCTTCGCCTTGATTTTTTCTTTCCTTTCCTTTCCTTTCCTTTCCTTTTCTTTTCTTTAATTTTTTTTTTATTTTTCGGCCATCACTTTACACTTTGTAATGGTAGTGAAATGGGGTGGGGTGGGGCGAACCCGTCAGGGGCATTCATTCACTCAGTTCGCCGTCTTTGTCGGCATGTCCCAGTCGAGTTACCAGTTCCCATCGTGACTTGACTCTCTAGTGCTTATCACACCTTTGCGATTGGATTCTATGTGCATTTTCTTTTCCCTAGAATGAGCTGAGCACCTACGGATTCGAGACGCCTCGCAAATCGGCCTGCAAACATTTGTGGCGATGCTGCGTGGAGCATCATGCTTTTTTCAGACAGGTGCGAGTGGCCCCTTTGCCCAGTTCGCAGTCGCATGCCGCCGATTTGTTCCAACTGGGATCGCGCTTCAGGCACAGGTGAGTAACTAACATCAGGGAGGAGTATTGGAGTACCAAGAGTTCCTGATCCAGGAAGTTCCAGAGTGCGTGGATTATATGGAGTTGTAAACACAAAAAAAGCCCCCTTGGTACTTCGTTGCCAAAAGCGCAACCAATTAAGACGTAACAAATTTCAATGGCCCAGACACTCGAGTTCAATCCCTCGACCCAAAATGCACCTCATGTGATTAGCTCATTAAGGGGCAGCTCAAGTAGAGGACTATAGTACAGGGATGGGCTGCCAAGTGAACTGCTTCTCAAGGGGATAGATGGGGCATTTCAAGGGGCTTCTTTTGTACTCATTCATGTGGCAGATATTGTAGATACACTTGACGAAAATCAATTCATTAAAATAGTAAAGAGATTATTTAAAAAGCCTTGTTTGTTTTTTTCTAGCTAATTTATAAAAGACATATTAATATCGTAATTATTAATTTAATATATAATATGAGCCAGAAAAAGTTTTAAAGCTTTTAAAGTTAGGACTTAATAAATAACTGCATTTTAAGAGGCTTCTTTTGTTCTAATTTATTTGAAAGATATGGTAGAATCATGATAATAAAAGTCTAAGGCAGCTCTTTTTAATCTGTGTATAAATTATCTATATGTGTATAAATTATTAAGTTAACGAATAAAAACCTTTGAATTCGGTGAAAGTAAAAATCATTCAAGCTCATAAAGTCAGGACTTAATATAGAGCAGCTTCAGTTTTAAAGAAGATCCGTTAATAACGCCAAATGAACCAAGTTCTCGAATGTCAGCTTCTCGGTTTTTCCGCCGCTCCAATTAGAACTCATTCCTGGCCAAAAGCAAAGTCAAAGCCGAACAGAAGCAGAAGCAAGAGGCATCCAGTGCATCAGACGAGTGTTCATAGATCAAGTTTACGCCATCGCCTGCATGGTCAACTAATTGGAAGTCCAATAAAAATGTCGGATCTACAGAGGGGATGGGGGTGGGGATTGGGATTTGGATTTGGAGGACGTGGGGCCTTGGGGCAGTCAGCCAAAAAGCAACTCGAGTGCAAAGCCTACTAATGACTTTCTGCGAAAAGGCGGCTCTAAGCCAGCAGGCTCACCAAATGCAGGCAATTGTGCATGACGAATGTGGCAGCGAATTCAGGGGATTCTGGGGGAGCAGAACCTTACCATGTTTATGACTGGACATTTGCGGTGACTGCGGCTGACCATTTAGTTGCTGCGGGAAACTTTCTTGCTCCTAGACTCCAAAATGGAGTTCACGTGGCCAACCGTAACTCAGTGAAACTATTAACTTGGCTGCCAAAGCTTTCTAGTGGCCAAAAAAAGTTTTTTTAGGGGCGTTTTATGAGTGCCCCAAAAACAGAACGTTTTTAATTTGAGAAACAAATGAAAGTTTCTCAGTTACACTCGGCTTTTATTTTATTTTATTTTACTTCGCCTGTGTGTGTTTTACAACCTTTTTATGGTTCACTGTTCATTATTAGCGTCTCCTATGATTTGTACTCTCGTTTTTGTTCTCCCTTATTTTTGGTTGTTAATATTTTTGGACGCCTTTATGCCTACTTTTATGTTGCCCAACACCACCACCACCGCATGTCTGCCAAACCCCGAATCGCTCTCAACCAAACAAAAGTCGCCCGGACAAGCTTACGGAGAAGGATGCACTTTCCGCCGGACGATCGCCGCCTGCCTTTACCCGTACTCCTTCAAAACGCCAGCCGCGCCGCGTGATTGATGACTTTTTTAACAGCCAAAGCAGTGGCAATGAAAATGGAAATGGAGTGGCAGCATTAGGTGGAGGAAGCCACATGGGCAACAGACCTCTTCCTCAACCCGGAATGGGCACCATCTCCAAGTGAGTACTCCAAAATGCCCATCATTTGTTTTCATTCCGTGCACAAAAGTTTTGATTTACCCATGTGTAGTACCCTCGCGCGTTCTGTATTTTACCCATTTTTATATACGGCAGCTGCTACTTCCTTTGACGTAGTTGTCCTTTTTTTTCGGCCAAGTCCTTTTTTGGCCGCGTCCCTTTTTTGGCTTTTTAGTAATCATTTTTGGTAGCTGGCGCGGTGCCGGAAGAGCTCTCGTGTGGCCCGTTGGAGAGGACTCGCCTTTGATCTCTTTTTAATTTTCAAACATATATATTTCGGTGTATGGCTTTTGCTCTTCGGAATCGAAATCGCCGGGTTCAATTTGAAAGGAATGCAGCCGGAGCACTTCATGAGTTCCCCGCCTTTCCCGTTTGTGTTTGACAGGGCAAACCGGATATATATAGTAGATAGATAGAAGCTCCTTGGCATTGTCCCGGCTCAAGGGCCCTCTGGCACTCTGAATTTGTGTTTCTGTTTCGAATTCGTGTTCAAAATCCATTTAGTTGCCATTTCGAAGGCAGTTACATTGTCTAGACGCAACATTTATTAAATGTTTTATGGCTGCAAAAACATCAAATTATATGGACAAATAAGAATTCAGCCATTAGGATTTTCTTTCGGGAGATATTGAGTCATGCCAGGAGATTTATGGTGTAGTGTATAGGGAGTGTATTTTTCGAATTGCACACAAACTTTAAGAAGCACCTGAATAGAAAATTGCCAGAGACAAGCGAACAGAGACCACTTCCAGCTGTCCAGTGTAAGTGTTTGCCCACCATCCGTGCATAAATTACACGCTCGGGAGAGGCTCTAAATAAGGTAATAGAAGCCAATCGTAATCGCTGGATTCCTGGGCGAAGCCAAGATGAGCAAATAGCCCGCGTCATTTATCATTTGCAAACAAAGAGAAGCCCAAACATCAGGCCAATCAAGCAGCCAAACCCCACACTACACGCCATACAGATTGCGGATCACAGATCCGCAGAGCTGCATCCCAGGGAGCATAAATCACCGGGCACGTTCTCTGGACTTTCTTCAGTAGAGCTACACTGAACCGAGGCGAAGCGACGACTCCTGAGAGTTCGAAATGATTGCCCGCTGATTGCCAGTGCGGCAATTACTCAATTTTGCACACGCGCATTATTTGTCTGTGTCGATCTTGGCGTGTTGCAGTTGGAGTTGCAGTTGCCTCTCCGGATCGAATTGGACAGCCTAAATGGCCTCCTAGGCTGCCGGCTGCCCTGCCGACGCGAACTTTAATCAACGTTTATGTTAAACAATTTAAATTTATGGCAAAATAATGCGAGATCGCCGCTGACTGATCCCCCGCCTTTAATCTCTTTTTTCCAACCACAATATAATAGCAACTACGACAGTCCCTACCGCTCCACGTATAGTATACCCACCAGTTTGGGGATCAGGCCCTGCCATCAGCAGCAGCAGCAGAACAACAACTCCAGCAGCTACAACAACAACAGTGGGAGCAACCTGCAAACACCTGACTCACCGCGAAGCACACGAAGTGCTCCCTGGCCCCGATCCCAGCAAAGATCGCTGTTCGGCCACAATCCTTCGAGCCCGCGATCCGTGAGATCTGCCAGCACAGCGGGTGGCGGACTGCACCACCATCACAGCCACCACAGCCATGGCCACGGCACCAGCCACCATCCACACCACCAATCCTCCGCGGCGGCGGCCACCTCCTCATCATCATCGCACCACCAACACCGGCAGCAGAGGGCCAGCTCCTCATCCGCTTCGCATCAGCAGCAAAGATACCGCTCCAGTTCCGTCGAGAGCCACTCCTCCAACGACTCAAGGTCCACAAGAACGTAAGTACCCATAGCGCTTTATTTATAGAATCCAAAACTAATTAACTAAGGAAAAGAAAAACATTATATCACTATCTAAGGAACTTTTCGTATAAAATCAATATTTATTTAGTTTTTGGGCTTATGCCAAAATACACTCATTTAAAGCAATAATTATTGGTTCCCCATGGTATTATAAAAATGCAAAAATTTAGGTTTCATCAAATCGACTAGACTTCGGACCTAAGTTTGAACTTTATAGCAGGGGCATGTTTAGGAAGGCCAAAGTATTCAAAACTAGATATGCAGAGACGCGTGAGTCTTTATCAAACTAGGTGAATTAAGTCCATCAACTGGCCCTGGAAAGTTTTAGATAGAGTCAAGCATGCTATTCGCTATGACTTTGTAAGTCCCAATAAGTCCCATCGATTTGAACACCCATAAGTGGGTGCGCCTAGTTTGAGTGCTTGGATTAAAGTGAGTGTTACCCATTAAATTGGGTTTTTTTATCTTATCTGCAAAGATCTACATTTTGCGACGAATTTCAAATTTCCCAATTTTACTGCTATTTATACGTATCTTATCGGACCATATTTATCTTAGGAACAATTTAGATCTCCTAATTTCTCGAACTTCTTATATGTTATGAAATTTGAAGTATCTTAATTTACTGCTCGTCAAATTTTTGTAACTTATCTTTTCTTATTCATAAAGATATTGGGTAATATTGTTATTTCACCAGGTATTTCGCCAATAGTACAATATTTTTATAAAAAATTATTTGTTTATAAAAAGGTTGAGTTCCATAACTTTTGTTGCTAATTTAATTAAAGTCTTAAAATATCTTTAGGAAAATAAATTGTGTAAGAAAATCCAATATGTTGCAGTTTAGGAAACTATTAATTAAAATTGTTTATGTATTCCGATATTTTAGACATAAGCACCGCCATCGTCGCACTTCTGACAATGAAAGCGAACTTTCAAGAGGATCCGGTCGCTCTGGAAGATCGGGACGTTCGCATCATAGAAAGCATCGCAGGTCGCATCGGCATCGACGAGATTCGGCTGGAGGATCGGATCATGATAGCACCCGTGGGCGCAGTTACTCCGGTCATCGAAGCTCCTCGATGAGGAGTGGTAGTGCTGAGCTTATTGACTCCACCTCGCAATGGAGGGAGGTTCAAAGGCGCCAGGCCGAGGCCAGTTTGGGCCAGAGTTCCGTTCAACAGGCGGCAGTTTCCAAGAGCAGCATGGTGGCCAGGAGCCTTCACAGCAACGATAGTCATTCGGATACCCATTCGCATCACAAGTCCAGAAGGCATCGCAAGAACAAGTGAGTTTGCGGAAGGGAAAGATGTTTTCTTTTAATTTAAAAATTACAATTAAATAATCTATTTTTATAATTTAGATGTCAAAAGTGCAACCCACCCATATAAAAAAATATATTTTAATGAATCTGCAATTAATTTAAACAAGAGATAAGGAAGATGTGTTAAGGGTCCGTAAATAAGAGTTATTTCGGACTTATATAAGAGTCTCAAATAACTCTTAACACGTTGATACATTAACATTAACTAACTTTTCATTAACTAACTTTTCATTCCTTAAGTAGTATTTATTTGAATTGATCAAGCTTAAATTTTAATTTAAGTTTATAATATATTCTTTACAATCTAAAATATAATTTGTACTTTCCCTTAACAGATCCCCATCGGAATCACGCAGTCGCATGTGGAATAGCGAATTGGCGAAGCACCTGCAATTCGATCTGGTGGACACGGAGGGCATGTCGGAGCAGCAGCTGCGCGAGATTCCCTACACGGTGGTGGAGACCACCTCCAAGAGGTCCAACTCCAACCTGAAGATCCACAAGAGCAACAGCAAGAGTAGTGTGGGAGCCAAGAGCACGGGTTCGGGCAACACCATCACCAATGGCAGTGGTTCAGGGAACACGGGTCAGGCCAGGAATCGTGTCGATCGAATAAGAGGGTGAGTATACTATACTGTAAGAAATAAAATTAAGTTATTACCAGGTAAGGTTGCATCTTAAAAAAAGATTTTTTAAGTTTGATTTTTGATTTTTTATCGGTTTAACTTTAACCCATATATATAATTGTAGACTTTACTATCAAAGCTCGCATCCGCACGATACTAATGGAGGAACTGGAACTGGAGGACAAGCACCCAAAAACGGATCCATACGATCGGCCAGTACGATTTCTTCTAGGGAGTGCGAACGGAATAATGGTTTAGTTAGGTAAGTGAAGACATTGATTTTCCAAAACGATTGGTAAATGTGGATTTTCATCTTTAGAATGATGTCTAGTATGAGCATGGGTGATTTTATCTCGCCCACTGGCTCCAATCTAAGTCCTTTGGAGAACTCAGCGTTGAGAGTTTCCCATGAGCACACTGACTCAGGTCTGGGAGCAGATCAGGACTATGCTTATTCATCGGAAAGGTAAGATATCAAATTTAATTTAGCAATAACTGTAATAATAATTGTAACAAGAAAAATTAAAATGATCAAAAGAATAAGAATATATTGTTTTCGAAAGCCATCTTATACTTTTTAAGCTTTCCCTGCATAATCATATATATTGGTAAAAAGCCAAAAATACTTGTATTTTAAGGATAAAATATATATGTAGCCTGTTTTTCAGCTCATATACTGAATTTATCTCTTTTCTAATGACAATGTTATTTTTATTTGGTTTTCAAATGTGCAGCTCTGCTTCAGCACCACATTTCCATTATTAATAGCATATGAACAATTGTAAAAATAAACATTTAAACGATCAATTGAGATGTGACTTGTTTTAAGCTTTCTCTTCTTATACTAATAATCTTAATACTAATATTTAGAGGACTATAGGTATATTTACTTAGTTCACTTACTGCCTTTATTTCTTTTCCAATGACTTTCCGTTAATTTTGTATACTTTACTCTACTCCTAAATCGCAGATCCAGCGACAGCACACGCTATGGCACCAACAAATCGTCGGGCGCCTCGAGCGGATCGCACCGGAAGTCAGGCGGCAGTGCCGGCGGCAACTACAACAACCTGATGCAGCAGACCGTGAGTAACCAGCAGCAGCAGCAGCGCTCGCTGTTCGCCCAACAGCAGCGCCAGCAGCAGCAGCAGAAGAGCACCTACAAATCGCCATCGGCCACTAACCCGGGCAGCCAGAGCTCCTCGGGACTGGCGCCTGTCCACAATCCGAGCAACCCCAGTCAACATCCCCACAACGCTACTAACTCTAATCACCAGTCGCCGGCCAATCGCCTGCTCCACTACACGACCTTTGAGAACAACCAGTACAAGTTCAGTCTGAACAATGCACTGGCCAAGAGTTCCAGGGGTTTGATGAGTGGTGGAGGAGGCAGCATTAGCAATCTTGCCGGGAATGTGTTGACATCTAGTATCGGTGGTGGTCCAGGTTCAGGTTCTCAAGGTGGTGGTGGTGCTTTCAGCCGGCAACGCAGCTTTGTGGAGTGGCCCAGCAATCCGGCCTCGCCGTATTACTACCAAGGTCCTTCGACTCAAGTGGCGCAGGTTAAGCGGCGGGATGCCAAGTCGGACATTGGGGTGCCCACGAGGCGGCTCTCTGGGCAGAGTTTGACCAAGACGCAGCTGCTCACGGGCGGCGGGCAGTCGCAGTTGACCAATGCGGGCTGCTATCCCTTGCACTATGCCAGCAGCAATGTTTCAGGAGTGGGCCACAATCGTCCACTGGGTCAGAGGTCGGGGGGCAGTGGTTCCTCCGCCGGAGGAGGAGGGGGTTTCGGACTTCAGCCTGCCAAATCAGATCTCTTCTTGTCCTACATACACGGGGCGGAGTACGAAAGGCCCTACATATACAACTACAAGATGCCACAGATGCCGGGTGGCGGCGGAGCAGGGGGTTCCCCGAAACAACAAACCACCGCTTACCACATTTCTGGATCACAGACCGCAGATCCGCCGCCACCGCCTCCGCCACTTTATGGCGGCACGGCGCCCGCCAACGATGTCATGTACTATCAGTTTGACAAAGGAACCGCCGGCGCTCCTCCTCCTGCGACGACGACGACGTCATCGCCGCCCATTGTCCAGCAGCCGCGGCAAACGGGCGGTCCATTAGTGTATCTGCAACATGGCCAGAATGTTGTAGCTGCCTCCGAGGTGCAGCAGCAAACTGTGAGTACGAAGTGCAAACCTGTCGCATGTCGATGTTGAATGTTGAATGTTGGTTCTCGTCTCCTCTTCTTCAGTTTGTGCAACTTGTCTTTCGTTTGCCACTCAATTGTGTTGCATGTTTGTGTTCCGCGCCTTAATTGAATCCGTATTTCACAGGCATTATCGCATGCCCCCGGCCAAAGTACTTAGTCTGTATGTTTTTCCTTTTCTATATTTTCGGTTTGTATTTCTAAAGAGTGCTAGAGACTAGAGTGTAGAGTGTATCCGTATTTGCACAAGTGTAATAAGTAACTGAAGCTTTTATGTTGATTATTTCGTGAGACTCATTGTGCACACAGTACAGACAGTGGGTGGTGTCCTCATTTCCCCCGAATAAAAGGAATCCTTATCGCACACACACTCCATCCCGAAGGACTTGTGTGTGCCGGGGCTTATCAAAAGGGCAAAAACGTAAAGTTGCCGCTATCTCAGCTGCGGGTTGCAGCGAAATTTAATTAACTTAAATTTAAGGCGTGAGAAAGCCACTTTTGAGCACTTGAATTTTCATGGAATAGTTCAGCCAATGTTCGCCAGACATATGCCCATATATTTCTAACTCAAAAGTATGCTATGTATGCTCGCAAAAGCAAAAGTTTGCCCAATTTCACGCATGCCTAATTAACAACTGAAATATTCCAACTAATTTCAGCTGGAGCGCAAATAAATTACCCGAAAATTAAAAGGCCATAAAGACAAAAACCCCTGCAATAAAAGAGAATAAATAATAAGCAACTATTTGCGCTACATTATCCAAGTTTATATAACAGACAGGACCTCAAGTCCTGCCTCCTTCGCTTGTGGGCTGCCCAAGCAAATAATTTCAGCCAAAGTTGATGGCACAAAAGCAGAAATATTTGCGATTCTAAAATAAATTCTGGGCCAGCTTCCAAGCTCTCTCGACCGGGTCACACGCATGTGTGTATATTCCATATATCCATATAAATATATATACGAGTATATCCCAAATGGCTATAGAAACAACAACAACAGGGAGTACGAGAGTACATAGAAACATTTTCGAAATGTTTGGCATAATTTTGCTATAAAATAAATTTTGCAAAATTGTTTTTCCTAAGCTGGGTAGAGCAGCTTACTGAAGAGCGGACCAAGAAACGAGGACTACGCCTGAAATGGCAGCCAACGCAACGACATCAGTAAGGACATCAAATAAAACAAGCAAATCAAAAATTATGACAGCACAGCAAGGGGCAAAGGCAGCCAAAGGAATATGCCAAACACGGCATCCTGCGCCAGGGGAAGTTATACTCGCAAAAATTAAGAGTTCCGAATGTCTGGCATACTTTTCCGGCGAAAGAAAGAATTCTTTTTATTCAGAGATGCTTCATAAAGCCAAGAAAAAGAATGAAAATTAAAATTAAAAATTCGTAGGGTCAACAAAAAAACAAATTAAATATGTTTCTATTTTGGGGTTTAAAACAAATTTTACAAGGCTGTTAAATGTAAAAGTGGTTGTTCTTAAATGCTTTTAATAAGCTGAAGTTTTGCCAAAACATATTTTAGAACTACAAAATTAAAAAAATCATAGAGAGTCGTATACACTTGGTAACAAATTAAATATGTTTTAAGATGTTTGTCATGTGTTGTTAAATAACTTATTATGGCTTAGAAAAATGAATGCGTTGATTCTTATTATGGCTAGGAAATATCAATGCATTGATTCTGAAATCCTTTTCAGAAAATAATTTCAGAACTAGAGAACTGAAAGAGTCATTAGAAAAGTGTAACATTAAAATTTCAATCCTTAAACATACATAAAGAATAATGTTTTACAAAGTAAATAAAACATTTTCGAATATAAAAGTTTTATCTATTATAGACAAAAAGAATAGTGGATCTTTAAGTAAATAGTTAGTTTTAAAATCTAAAATTTCTATCTGTTTATGCATCATATCTAATTTTTGTGAGCTTAAGGAACTTTTTTGTTTTAAGTGCACTAAGATGTGGGTCTAGGGATACCATCTTGGCCAGGCCAAAGTGGAAAAGTGCGCAGCCAGCGGCCAAGAGACAAACGCCAATGCTGACAACCCAAAACGGGGGGCGGAGGACAGGGGGCGTGGCTGGGATGAGGTGGCCATGTCCTCGCCCCAAAAAGCAGTTAAGTCAATAAATTTACTGATTTAATGTGGCAAAAGTTTCGATTGTTGTTGTCTCTGCCATTTGCTGTGTTGTTTCAAGGGTTAGGAGTTTTTGCCGGCGGCGAAGAGCACATCGACTGATGGTTTTGTCCCTAGTAAAACGCCTGCAGTTGCTATTTTATCCATTGCCATTGCCCGGGTTGTTTTCGTTTTAGTGGCCCCAAGGAACACACCACACTTGGCCAAATCCTAACAAATGCTAGATTAACACAATTGGCAAACAATAAAGGCAACAAACTTATAGGGCTTTAAGCGATTGCTTATTGTCGGTAGCGTCTTGAGTGGGAGAAAAAAAGAGACATATTAAGTGAGTTGTTCAGTAATTGGAAATCAGCTTTTTAACTTAAATAAATATTTTGCCTATTTGACAAACACGTCATTTAATTGAAGCGGATTGAAGAGTAAAGGTTAAAGGTCACAGAACGTTATGACAGCCTTGATCAACAGCATAAAATATTAAATTTAGAAAACAATGCCCAGAGTAAACAATGACCGCAGCAAAAATGCATGCATCATAACTCGAAAAAAGTCGCGAACAAAAAACTGTTCATAAAAAATATAAAATTGCCAATTGATTTATTGGCAGAAAACATTTTTCCATGTCAAATAGTGCGGAAAATGTAAAAAATGAGTAACAAAGGGAAAACTTTAAACAAATACTCTTTTATTTATGCTGCATCCCGTGTATGATTTAATTATTCATCACGTAGGCAATTAAAAATACTTGATCAGGTATGGGGCAATGGGAATGGCGTTTTTCCGGCTCTAAACGTCCCTTTGTCTTTTGACCTGCGGGCGGCAGATGGCATATTTTTATGCATTTTTATTTAAAATGTTTTATGCATATCCGGGAAAAATAAAAGGGCTGGAAAACTGATGGTTGAGTAGAAAAAAAAATAGATCGTAGGTAGGTAGTAATTATCTTTGATGGTGACAGTTGCCAGACGAGGTGGTGACCCATCCATTTCCATGTCCCTGACATTGGAATCGTCCTGTATCCGCGTGTTAATGAACGGGGCGTTTGACACTGGGCCACATTTATGCCAGACAATTTGATACATTAGCGTGTGCTGTGTGTTTTTTGGCCATGGGCGTGTTGCCCAATTAAGACACACACAAACACACACTCGTCTTGTATTCACACACACCCATAAACGAGAAGGAAAATTAATTAAATTCCTTGGCTTTGGCTTTGGCCTGGCCAAACGCTCTTCAAGTTTGTTTATGCAATCCTGTACGTGTTTCCATTAGGCTACAATTCAAAGTTCATTATTGAATGGAAGTGGGCGAGGCCTAGAAGATAAACTTCCCTCCTGCGGCAACAAATACGATTTTCAAGTTGAATGCAATTTTAATTAATAGAAAATCAAACAAACTTTGTATGTACTATGTGTAGTATATAGATATACAAAACAAACTTGTGTTCTTGTGCTACAAAAAGCATAAGCCGCCAGCACACAAAGGCCGTAAGCTTAAGTGAGTGAAGGATACTGGGTACTTAGACCCATGAACCATTCGAGTGTGTTTGTGCACCTTTCTGATTTCATTTACAAATGAATCTCACTCGCCGGCAGCCATTTCCCATGCTGAATTTACCTGCTTTCCCCGACCTTCTATGTTCATATGTTGACCTTTGGCAAAGAACTCGCCATCATAAAGGCATCAAATGGGCTACAAGCGAACGTGTCTTGGGCCAAATTGAATGAGCTTTTAAGTGTATTGAGCCAGAGACAGAGCCGAGTCGCATTCAATGCGATTAGTTACCGCACTTGTCTGCCGCCTAAATGGCTTAATACCTGGCTTAAATGCAAATCGAGAAAAGTATTTACTTATATTTTTAACTTATATCGTTCGAGTGTAGGCGACCTTTGAGTTTATACTTCAAACTTTGAAGACTAAATAAATCAAACTGCACTTGCAATAAACTATAATTGGCCAATTAAAAATTAATGTAAAGACTATCTGTTTCCAACCAATCATAAAATAAGCAAATTTGTTTTTAGTTCTTCATGGTTTTTTTTTTTTTGTTTAAATAAAGATTAAGTAGATTTATGTAAGCTTGTGCTGAACTATGAGAGTTAACTATGCATTTAAAACATGGTTGAAAACTTAAAGAGTTACATTTGTTTAACTTAAAAAGAAAACTTTTAATCACGGGATAAAATAGATAATGTTTAACAAACATCATACCACAAATCGGTTTTAAATATGGCCATAATTTCTTCGTGCACTCCAACTCTGAAAAGCACTTTGCAACGCATTAAACTTCCTATTCATAAATCAAAAAAAAATGAGGAAACTTGTTTCCGAACATATTTTAAGTTTGTATTTGAAGAGGCTCTTTAAAGAGCATCGTTAAACTAACCCCTGGAACAACAGGGAAAGAATCGCTATTCGCTGTGCAATCAACAGAAAACCGCAGGGCGTGTGGCGCGTATCGAATGGGTTAGTGGGGGAAGCTCCCTCGAAACCAATCCCAATCAAAACCCCCATTTACCTGCCTTTTGCTGGCCACCTGTGCACGTGGTTTGATTCCAATGGTCAGCTGTTTGGCCGCCGGGGCTTTTATTACCGTTACTATCGGCTTTTGCATTTGGTATTGTTGATTCCGGGCCTTGTTATTCGACTATTTTGCGTGTAATTAAAATTTTGCAGGGCCCACTGCCCACGACCCCAATGATAAATTCATAAACTGCTGGAACAGGGGTATTTTCTCGTTGCTGTTTGTAAATTAATTAAAATACTATACGATTTTGTCAATATTTTCTTGATTGAAATATTATTTACGTTGTCGAAATTGTCGATAAACAGCATGTGTTTGTGTTTTGCCTGTGCAAGTATTATGATAGTCCTGAATGTTATGTTAAATTAGTAGGTCTCTAATATTGTGATAAACAACTAGATGTGTAAGTTGCATGCCCCGTTTGTGCTAAAGCTACTTAAGCTACTGAACTACTGAATAGAGTGTGATTAGTGAACCCTGCAAGAAAGCTAAACCTTGTTTGTATTTTCAAACCTCACCAACAAACCCCGTACAACCCCAAAACCACCCCCAACAAATTGGATTCGATTTGCGCAAACCTGAAATGCCTGATACCTGAAACCAGACGCACTCGAATGGGTCGCAGTCCTGCAGCGAAGAGGACGAGGCCATGATTGTCCTGGAGGCCCTGCAAATGGAGGCGCAGACCACCAACGATGAGACCGAAGATACCGAAGATGAGGCCGCCGAGGCGGAGGACATGTTTGATGCCGATGCTCCTTTGATGTCCCCCACGGGCAGTCACAATAGCTCAAATAATAACAACAACGGCAGCGGCAGCAGCAGCAGCAGCAATTGCATCATAAACAACAACAGCAGCAGCAGGAGCAATATTAATTTCGATAATTGCAATGCGAATGTCTACAGTGGTCAGCAGCAGGCGAAAATACTAGGGTCAATTACCAGCGGCAACCAAACGTTAAATTGTCCCACATTGAATGCAAATACAAATACAAATACGATTCCGAATCCGAGTAGCTTCACCACCAATAATAGTCACTCCAATAGCCAAACAAATGCGAATGCGAATGCGATTCCCCCTCCCAACACCACCAGCAACAGCAGCAGCACAACAGCAACTCTAGTTGCAGGTGCAGCAGCGACAACTGGCACAGCAGCAACATCAACTGCCAACCAGCAACAAAATCAAAACATTTCCTCCAGCTTAGAGATAATCCTTTCGCCAATTATCCAAAGTAGTCGACGGTAAGTTTTTATTTTTAGTTTTCTTTTCGGTTCTCCCTTCTTCCTCTGTTGTTTTGCGTAGGTATATAAGCGTTTTCTGTTTTTGTAGCTAACAAGAAATAATAGCGATACCAAAACCGATACCGACCTCTGACCTGCATGTTAGAACAGAGAAATAACAGAAGTGACTTTTACCTTTAGATGAAAATTGCAATTTTTTGCTACTCAGTTGGCTCAAAGTCGAGCTATATTGTGTGTATATCTGCTATTGTTAAGGATTGCATTGAAATTTTAGCTTTGAGATGTTGGCAGACATAATAAGTTGAATGCCCTTTGTTATGTTACCCACGTATTTTTCCCCTGTTTAACATGAAACTTCATTGAACTGTGCGGGAAATTTAAAAATCTCCAACCCCCTAAACAGATACACGAACCCAAAGTCATCTCCTTTAAGTGTGCGAAAACAAAACGAAACGAAAACATTATAAATTATGTATTAATGTGCCCGTTAGGCCTACGCAATGCTGGCAATGTCGGGACCTCCCAGCTGCCAATTTTCAATTGCCTTTGGGCCAAGATAACAATCGACTTGGGGGGCAAAACAATGGCAATGGCAAAGCCTTTCTGGCAAACATTCATTTTCATTTCAATTTCACTTGTTTCTTGCTTTCGTTCTGGATTTACATCTGATTTGACTGCCTTTGCCTTTGCTATAGCTACTTCCCCCTTATTTTTCCGTCGACGTTTTTCCGCCTCGCAGGGCAACACAGAAACGCACAAATATTTATGTAAGCTAGGAAATTCGACAGCCTATTTACAAATGAATAGGTTAATGTCATCGGGGTGGATTCTGTTGTGTGTTTTGTTTACGAGCAAGAAACTTGGGGCAAATTGACTTTAAACATGTCAATTTAATTTTGGGATTCCACCACCCAGGATCCATCCAGAAAGTATGCTATGGCAAACACAGAAATATTACTCATACGCCGCATTGCACGCAGCCATTGAAGCAACAAAATGACAATTTTACAACAAATTAACCGTCCAGCCAAGCAAAAACAGCCAACATTCGTATAAGCGAATGAATGTGAAAACCCAGGACATTTATTGCGAGCTGGGAATTGCAAGTAAATGACCTTCAAACTCGATAAGCGAAAACAAAACAAGCGAAAGTGCTAAAAATATACATAATTTTCAGCGCACACGAAGACTAAAGCCCCTTACACACATGCACATGAAAATATGATAGGATGATAGGACACAAAACACACCCACAGTCACACATTAAATCGAATGTATGGGGCCTGGAAAAAGCGAGCCGGGTAAATGATATTTCTGCCGGCTCGATGCTCCGATGTTTCGCCAATGTTTCTGTGCCTCCGACCCGCACATAAATACAAATTTCAACAAAACAACAGGCCACAAAACAAAAATAAACCCACAAAAAAATAAGCGATGAAAGCAAAAAGGCGCAATGTTGGCAACAACCGAGGAGCAGCCAGTAAAAAAACAAAATACAACAACCAGGCTAGGCAAACATTTCATATCGTAGAAATACTTTGGAGCTAAATAAACAACATTTTGTAGAAGCACAAAAAAGGCTAACAAACAGTTAAACAGCCTGTGGTGTTTGTTGACCTCGGGTTGCTCTCTATTTGATAAAGTTAAATATTTAGGGTCATCTACTATTTATAAAGATTTTCGCAGGTAGTTAGAGTGGTAACAAATCGAATTATCGGAATGGTTTCAATGAAGAAAAATAAACTAATTTGTAAAAACAAATAAATATTTTCAAGGAAACAGCAAAGTGCTGCTCTAAGTCTGTTGTAAATGAAGACTTTTGGGAGTTGTTTATAAAATAAACGTTGTACATTGTTTTTGGATTCCTAATGGTATTTGTAAAAATAATTTTCAAAATATTCTTTTCTTAACGTATGCTTAAAATCAAAATATGGTTAAATTAATACATTTTTAGTTATCCGAAAGAGTGGAAACATTTATGTATTATATTTTACATAGTCTTCGTATTTTCGGCATTGTAACTTTTTTTTTTAATTTTTGTTCGATGTCTGTGGAACAGAAACTCGGACTTTGAAAGGGTATTTCAACAAAGGGTCTGCGTGTTCGACCTTGGTACAACGACAGTTCTTGTTTTAGATTAGACCCCTCAACCTCGCCCAGCCCCGTGCCCTCTGGAATTCGGCCATTTGGAACCCTTCGCGACTTGTAGCTAGGCCACACGCCACCAACAACAAAGGGACTTGGGGAAAACTTTACGCATTTTTGTCACAGAAACAAAATAGAAAACGAAAATGAAAATGGCAGCGGAGGAGGGAGAAGGAAAAGTGCTGAAAATGTGGAAAGTGCCAGAGTGGCAATCGTAAATTTGACGCACATTTTTACCCGAGGGCGGAGATAAGCTTATGAATGGGTATATAAAAACTCACCCCATTTTCACATTATATGTGTGGAGTGACTTTTTTTTCCAGGATTTCTTTTATTTTATGGATAAATTAAGTAATTATTTGTGGTGTGGCGCCAACTGAAATGATAAAAAGTATTCAATTTGTGGCAGTCGCGGCGATAAAACTGGATTTACTACGGCCATAAACTGCGTGGGCGGCACTTGAACTATATTTTTTGTAAATTTATTTCAACAAAATGAAGAGCACCATAACGCATACGCACTGTAGTCGCTAGAACAAACTAACAAGCTATACTCACCACCATAGACCATACACATACATTTACACTTACACTTACACTCACATTACCGAGCACTAGAAAACTTAAATGAGAAAATCAAATCAACAAGGAAACTTACCCTAACATATGCAAATATTTTCTCTTCCTCTTTTTTTGCTACTTTAATTTTTATGGCATGCCACTGCAACCACTACAAAACTACAATGCAAACGGCAGAGCGCAATTGTAAGCGAAATGAGCACAGAGTTGTGAGAATTAGCTAAATTTAATTTGCAATAGCCAAAGCCCGTCGACCATACCCCTGCAGTAGGAGTGAACTGTTCCTCCAATCCGCCGCCCACTGCATTCTGCAAACTTTGGTTGCAGCAACAGCAGCAGCAGCAAAATCAGGCATCCCAGCAGCAACAGCAGCTACATCAACTCTCGCAGCAGCAACAGCAACAGCTCTACGAACAGCAGCAGGCATGGCTCTAGAAAAGAATAAACACGCACAACATGTAAGTGGAAAGTTAAATGGAAACTACATGCGGGCCAAAATCAACAGAAGAGCAGAACAGAAGAACTACAATAAACAACATTTAAAAGCCGCCGGGGCAAAAGTTGGTCTAAAACTTTTCACCAGCAACGTTGCGTTTGCAAATTAAATGCACATTATGCCAACATGTAAATAGATAATGATGTATATAAGTAAGTTTGGGTAAAAGAACTTAATCGTAAAAGAGGAAACGAAGTAATCTTAAGACGCGAATAATCAAAAAGCCAAAAAAGCAAATGTATCTCACAGATAAACAACAGCAATTGGGGGCCTCTTGAATGAAAGCGAAAGAAAGCATAAAAGCAAAAATAAATTGTGCGTTAATGATAAGCGGGGCACATTTCAGCAGCATAAAATTTATTAAAATATGCGCACAAGCCAGACAACGCGAAAAACTTAGGCGGAAAAGCCAGGCCCCCAAAAAATAGGCAGCACAAAACAGGCGCACGCAAGCACACACAGACACAAAAAGGACTGGCCGGAAATCGTTGGCGATAAATATAAAATTTTATTGTTGTGCTTCGTATCTCTTCGAATGTGTGTGAGTGTGTGTGTGTGTGCGCCTGGAAGTAAATTAAATATACGTTTTTATTAACTACTAAGAACCAATTTGATACGCATTTAAATAATGCCTCTTACACAAGAGCCCACACAAGATTATGTAAAATTTAATTTTACTGCAGCCGGAAGCAGCAGCAACGAGAAAAGCCAAATAAATGTAGTAGCCTTTATGTGTATGTAATTTAAATAAAATATATTCGTAAAAGGATCCTCTAGTTGTAGCCCCAAACAACTTACTTACTTATGCCAACAACGTCCAACAATTTCAATAATACTTACGTAAGCGAAAAAATTTTGACCATATATGTACGTTATGCCCAATTTAGCTTAGTTTAATCATTTGCTACTAATTTAAGTCTCACCGTCCGTTGGTTGGCCTCTTCTTTCTTATGTGACTTTTAAACTGTGTAAATATCCCTACTATTAATAATATTACTCAACAATTTGTGTGGTCAGACTAGAGCTAACGAGTAAAAACGAATACAGAATGCATATGAAATATTATCGAATAAACACTTTTACAATCTACTGCATATTGGTGTAAACTGTAAACGAAACCTAATTATATACGATTAATTGTCTCTAACAAGATTTTACCATGAGTGTGTCACTTTTATATATACATCTAAAATATACAATAAAATTACAACTAAAAAATAAACTGCAAGCGACGTTTTATACAAACATCAACACAGGCATGTTTTATTTGTTTTGGTGGAATGCCTTTAGCACTATCTGGGGCTATATAACAAAAATGCGGCCCTCTGGGGCACTTTAACTGTAAAGAAACAATAAAAAGCATAGTCTTTTGATAAGGAAGTGGACAGGACAGGATGGCCAAGACAAGAAGAGCCTTGCTAGCCAAAGTCAAGCGATAAGCAGACGAGATTTCAGAAGACAAAGGCGCCAGCGAAACTTTCAAGTCGAAAGTCGAGTCGTGGACAACAATGCAAAAGGGTCCTGTGAAATTAGCCAACTTACACAGTACAAAGGAAAGCCCTTACGAATTATGAATGGCTGTGCATAAGTTTGGCTCAAGTGGTCTAAAACTGTGCAGAGAGGGCCAAAAGCAATCTCAAGAGCTGTGAATCAGTTTCGTCCAAAGCTTTGAGTGACAACTACAGTTAATTCTTGTAAATTATGAGTGTGCAAGCTATTAAATACGAGGTTTTTTTTTATTTCAGGATTAAAAACTCCACATTTTTACATTTTGCAGACATTAAAGCAAATTGGAGAGGTTGAAGTATCACATGTCCCAAAACCCTAACAAAGTTTCTTCAGTAAGAGAACATAAATTACTTTTATTTGTTTTTATTTTAAAGTTTTTAACTATATATTTTGTTATTATTATTATTTATTTTAGATGACATCTATATTTGCTAAATAAAATAATAAGTATAATATAATACCAATATTATAATATAAATATAAATATATGTTTCACTTTCATAATCATTATTATTTATTAAAACAATTTAAATTATTTTCGCTGAGTCTAATTTCAAAATACGCGAGAATGGTTCAGGAAACGAAGCCATTAAACGGAGGAAATGTAGATTATTTTGAAATATTACATAAAACGACGAATTTCACGAATACCCCGAACCGGCGAGGCAAAGTTTAATCTTGATTAAACTGAGTAAAACTTCAAGAAGATGGATACATTTTTTTCACTTGCGTTTGATTGACAAATAAAAGTTATAAGTACACTTATTATTTATATTTTATCAAATTATGTAAAGATTCTAATGCAAATAAAATATTTTGGGCAATAGCTAATTTTGTTTTGTTTCAAAAGTGTTGCATATTTTTGGGCACCCAATCGTAACGCTACCCAAAATCGCCGCATAGAGGGCGCTAACAAAATTTTAAGGGCGGCGCAGCATTTTCTTGACTTTAATTGTTGCACACTTTTGGGCATGCCGATCTCGTGATTTGTTCCATTCTCGTTAGGAAAAAATGCAGGATATCTCACCTCAGACAGGATCCACATTGCTATTTTAAGTTTTTATTGCGTACATTTCGGCGCTGCTGGCTGTTCAAACTGAGCAGCAGCCTACTGAAATTTCTGTTCGCCTGGTGTTTGAGGCCGAGAAACTGACCGACAAAATCGACACGAATGGATCCCAACTCGAACCCAAAAAAAAAGCCCAACATTGCGCGCTTCAAAGCAAATCTTCCTGTTTTTGACATCAGGCCAACAGAAATCCCAGTAGGTGGCTGCTCTAGTAATTTATTTAGTGGAGCTCTCCCATTGGTCAACCAATAGGAATACACCTTCCCGATTGCTTAAAACAACCGTTACTTTTTTCCCAGTACATAGAGGCGTAGTCAGCATAAGCAGGGGTTGGGGGGCTAAACGACCCCAATTACCGATCTCATCCCCGTTGACAAAATTCTGACTACGCCGTTGCTAAGCGCAGAAAACACAGTGGGTCACCTACTACGATTTATGTTCGCCTGATGTTTCAAACCGAGAAATCTAAAATTTTGCCCATCGACAAAACCCAATTTTTCCCAGTCAAACTCAACAAATTCTGATTTTGAAGTACCAGGCCAACAGAAAGCTCAGAAAGTTTTCGGAGTTTAAAGCAAGTATCGAGCGAACAGCTGTGCGAAACTGCACGAAGCCACTCCCCTGGAAAACATCCGTTAGTTTGCAACTATACTCTTACTAGTGATGAGCACACCGCTTGTATTTTTGTTTGTGACACGAGTTTGGCACGCAAGGCACGAAATTCCGTAATATTTGTATGGGGCGTTGGGAAAACAGTAGGCACGAGCACATCTCTAAGTAAGCGTCGTACAGACTGATCAGCTGTTTGTTAAACAGCTCCATCGTTTCTGCTCGCCGTTATATGTATAAAATACAGAAATCTCACATTTTGCCTGGGAAAATTAGAAATGATTGCCAGTAATTTAATCTTATCGGGACTCTTTAATAAGCCAATACAGGATCTTACGGTTCTGAATCCAATATTCAGTAAGAAATAATTGAACAAATTATTCTTTTAAATGAATCAAACCAATAAAATCAAACCTAATCTCAGTGACGCTGAAAAACTACTCTAAAAGCTGACAGTTCTACAGATTCAACACATTTTTGTTATACAACGTTACTTTAGTTAAGCCAGTTAAACACTAATGTGTTTTTTTTATTGAAAACTGCAGGAAAAAGGATAGCAGAAGCAGCAAACGTACACTCAAGAAACTCAGAACAGATGGCTTCCCAAAGCAAAAGCAACGGATTGAGTAACAAGGTGACCACAGTGGTGGCCACAAATGCCTATGGTGCGGATGTGATGACCGAGATCAGCTACTCGGATGCCAAGGTGGTGGGCAACGGCAGCTTCGGCGTGGTCTTCCAGGCCAAAATGGTGCCCAGCAACGAGGCGGTGGCCATTAAGAAGGTCCTGCAGGATCGTCGCTTCAAGAACCGGGAACTACAGATCATGCGCAAGTTGCGTCACGACAACATCGTCACTCTCAAGTGGTTTTTCTACTCGAGCGGTGAGAAACGGGACGAGGTTTATCTGAACTTGGTGATGGAATATCTGCCGGAAACGCTTTACAAGGTGGAGAGACAGTATGCCAGAGCCAAGCAGACTTTGCCGGTTAATTTTGTTCGGCTTTACATGTACCAGTTGCTCAGGAGCATGGCCTACCTGCACAGCTTGGGATTCTGCCACAGGGACATCAAGCCGCAGAATATGCTGCTCGATTCGGATACGGGTGTCCTAAAACTTTGTGATTTTGGCAGTGCCAAGCAGCTGATCTCCGGGGAACCCAATGTGTCGTATATTTGCTCCCGCTATTACCGTGCGCCGGAACTAATTTTCGGAGCCACGGACTACAACACCAAGATCGATATATGGAGTGCCGGCTGCGTGATGGCGGAGCTTCTGCTTGGCCAGCTTATTTTTCCCGGAGACTCTGGTGTCGACCAGATCGTGGAGATTGTTAAGGTCATGGGCACGCCCACCTCCGAGCAGCTGCACGATATGAATCCCCATTACAAGCAGTTCAAGTTGCCCCAACTGAAGCCGCATCCCTGGGCCAAAGTGTTCCGCATTCGCACGCCAGCGGAGGCCATAGATCTTGTCTCCAAGATGCTAATATACTCCCCCAATGCCAGAGTTTCCCCGTTGATGGGCTGTGCCCATCCCTTTTTCGATGAACTGCGTCACGATCCGCAACAGCAGTTGCCCAATGGCCGGAGTCTGCCTCCGTTGTTCAACTTTACGGAATACGAAAGAAGCATTGAGCCAGATGTAATGCCACTGTTGCAGCCGCGGGCACAGGGAGTGTCCTCTGCCAAGGAGCCCAGCATGGGCCACCGTACTCGCAATACAGCCGGAGAGGAGAGTCCACGAAAAGTGGGTGCCATCCAAAAACTGCCGTCGTTAGGGCTTCCAAAGTCCCCGGAAACCTCGAGCAAGGTAGTCGGATCCGGATCCCCACCTGCTTTTTTGCGACACGAGCTGGGAAATGGCGATCACGTAGCCGTGGGAACCGTGGCAGTGGATTCCCCTAATCACCTGGATCTGGATAACTCTGCGGATAGCGAGGAGGCGGATGGCGATGGGGATGCCGAGGATGATATGGACGAGGATGCGGGCGACGAGAACGACTTCGAGGACGACGACGACGAGGGGCAGTTCAATAGCGCCGATAGCAACAACATCAGCGACGACATGGAAGACGCCTCCGATGACGAGGACCTCGAAGAAAAAACACGGATACAATCGAACAAGCATATGTAGGATATTATCTCACATAAGACATAAGCCAACCAAATTCAAAAACAAAGAAATATAAGTTCAAAAACGTTTAGAATTTACATTTCATTTCATCCGCATACTATAATTATATTATGGCATTTAAATAATTGCTTTACTTTGCTGGTTATAGGTCATTTTTATACAAAGCTTTTTTTAAACAAAAAGGGAAAATTTTACATAAAATCGACCCGATAGCACAAACCATTTTTTAAGGCTGATTTTTTGAGGCTTAAGCCATAAAACTTTAAAGATACATCCCATTGAAGTTGAATATCTCTAAGAAAAGTTATGAACTTCAAACTGCAGGTTTTTGGTCACTTTTCCACAAAGCCATTTTTCGGAAATTTAAAAAAAAATCGGCCCGAAATTTCATACCAAACTAAATTTTAACGTAGATTTTAAGAAGCTTAAGCCACAAGCCCTAAAATAGATCCCTTTGACATCAGATGCCTGAAAAAATAGTTATGTATTTAAAACTGCATGCTTTGGCACTTTTCCGCACAGGCAATTTTTTCGGAGATTAAGAAATGGGTTACATCATAAAATATCAAAAAATCGGCACGAAATTACAAACCAAGTTTTAAACGCAGATTTTTAGAGAACTAAGACACAGAACTTTAAAGATATACCACTTCAAAATCGGATGTCTATACGAAAAGATATGGAATTAAAACTGCAAATTAGCATTTACACGCAGGTTATTTAAAAATTAAACCACAAGCCCCAAGAATTATGCTTTTTCAAAATCGGATATTCTGCAAAGCCATTTTTTGGAAAACTTAAATTTAGTTAAGTCGCCCAGAAAATCGGCACAAAATATAAATTCAAAATTTCAACGCGGATTCTTAGAAAACTAAACTACAAACTCTAAGAACTACATAAAGCAAAGTATGTTTTTTAATCTTTTTTAATCTTTAGGCCCTTACAAATTGTTTCATTGACATTTTGACATTCACATAACATTTTTTAGCATTTAATATTTTCCGTTAGAATATTGACAACAAAAATACAAATGCTTATTTCTAATTTTCTACATAGTTAAAGCAAAAATCACTCAGGCGGCATTTTGCCAGACCTTAAACAACTTAGGTCGCACATGGCACTCATCCGAAACAGGACTCCCAAATGGACACTCGAATAGGAGTTCTAAAAATATCCTTAATTATTTAAATGCCAACACACATGGGTGGCGCCTCGACGCGGTTGTCCTTCGCTGAGTTCTCCCGAATATAAATTTCCGCGCTTTATGGCAGTTCAAATACCAAAACCAGGAGTCCAGCACGCACACATGTCCTTTCCGGAGGCGAGTCACATTTCCTGCCTTCGTCCTTTGTCCCTTTGCCCCCCTTTCCCCTCTTCCTCTCTGTCTGTGTGTGTGTGTTTGTTAATGTGGTAAAATGAATTTTCAGTTTCATTAGTTAAATTGAATAATGGAAAACTTTGTTCGCCGCATTCGTTGTTGTTTTTGGCCTTGTCTGGCCTGGAAGCGAAAGTTACACTTCCGTTGGCAACACAAATACACAGCCACTAACTCACCCACCCACACACACATACACAGGCACAACGAGCCGGGCAATAAAGCAAATTTATGCAAACGATAAATTTCGTGAGAGGGAAATTGTTTGTTTTGTTTGGTTTTCGCCAGTTGTTGTGACGTCAAGGGGAAAATGCTAGTCGAAATAAATGGAGAACGAGTGTATTTAGTGCCTCTAAGTAGCAGTTACCAATTACTCACCGTTTTGGCCGTGTGCTGCAATGATATTAGAGCCACTATAGCGCAGGAAAAGTTGTCAAATAAATGCAGTCAGTTTCAAATTAATATTAAATTCCTTTGGAAACAGATGTGTAATTAAATATTTTTAGAATGTAAATTACATAAAAGATAATTGAAATGTATGTGAAAAATTTATGGTTTAGGGTAGGTTGTTATAACTAATTAAATTTTTCGACGCAAATTGCTAGTGCTTCAAATTGAATTTAGAAGGGTTTACCCTTTTGTTAAAAACTGTTTGCTAAAAATTATTCAACATTGTGATATTTGAAATTAATTCGGTTATTGATAGTGTTCCTTTACTATATTATTTTTACAATGTTTTATTTCAAATAAATGTAAAATATTTAAAATGGTAATTTAATAATAGAACAAAGAAAATAATCTGTCCAAAACAAGTCCTAAGTTTAACTTGTGAAATAAAACAAGCACAAAATCTCAAACTCTACAATTTAAGGATACAATACAAACACCTACCAAATATATCCCTAAATTTTCAGATCAGAAACAACTTTCAGCTATCCTTGCGAGGTATGCAAAGTTTAAACTGTACTTTCATTAAGCGAAAAGTCAAGCACATCCAAGCACACACACACTGCGGGTAAATAAGAGGAAATCTTTCGCAACAACGATTACTCGGCAACACTAACAACTAACCGCAGGACTAGGACTACACGGCAACAGGACTCGGGCGGAAAGGAGAGGACTACGCAGGAAAGGAAAGGACAGACACTCTGGCACGGCGGAGTAATAAACACGCCGATGACTATTTACAAAGTGTTAGCTGCGGGTTGTTGTTGCTGCTGCTGCTGCTGCTGCTGTTACACTGACGGTGTTTTTTGGATGTGTGTTGTGGGGGTTTTTCGGGTGTCTGTAGCTAAACCTTTGACTCAAGTGAGATTACGATATGCTACATAATAGAAACTCAGGCAGCCATGAAGTGGGTAGGAAGGCAGGTGTCTGTATATCTATGTAACTGTAGCTCCAATAGCAATGAAACATTTTTCGGGAACAGCAGCCAAGGGGCACATGGCCGTAACTTGCAGGCATTTTACGGCCTTTTGGGCAGAAATTGTAGTTGGGAGCATGGAGCTTGGAGTGTTTGGGGGAGCTGTCAGTTCTGCTCTCAATGGCTACTAACAAGCAGTCGCCCAAGGTGAATGCGGTTAAAGTGTTTTCGGTTAAAGCGTTTCGTGGGCCAAAGCATTTGCATAAACAGTATAACCTTCGCACCAACGCCAAAACGAGCAAACAAACAAACAAACCGACGTACAAATAGACAGAAGGCCAAAGCAGGCAGACAAAAGTACCTGGACTGCAAAGTCTAAAAGTGGCAGAGGCACAGACTTCCTGTTGCTATTGCTATGGCCGCCTGTCGAGTGCTACCAGAATTATTTTATTTCCGTTTCCGGACACGCACACTTGTAGCTAGCCGGAGTCGAAACTGCGTAAATACGCCTGCGGTTGCTACCTTTCTGCACCCAGCTAAATTTACACTAAATGCACTTTTAATGGGTTCCACACGGCACTCTCCGAAAACTATCCTGAATCCGAGGGCCGCCAGAGATGCTCCATTTCTGGGCATAATGAAATTAAACTTGGAGAATTAAAAATGCATAGCACCCTCTTTTAAGCAAGAAAGAAATTATTTCAGACAATTACTCATCAGAGTACACTTTGTACATATTCCAAAAAATTATTAAATACCTTAAAATATAATTTATGTTTGAGAGAAAGTTCAAAGCAAAACAAAGTCCCTAAATGGCGCCCTGCTCACCTCTAAACTGCATTTGAAATTGTATATGTTGCTATTTTTCGACAGCATTGATGGGCCTGTTGCCCTGGGATGAAAATGTTTGGGCAGAGGGAAGCTGGGAAGCTGCGGCTGCGGCTGCGGTTTGTCCAAATAAAGCAGTTGAGTTAGTTATGCGCAGCTTGCGGTTTCGCTTTGACTATTTTTGCGTGCAGAAATGCGAAATGCGAAACGTAAAATGCCAGCGGGAGGGCAACGAGTTTGGTAGAGCCTGTGAAAACGACAGACAGACTAATTAGGAAATTGTACGCTTTAATGCAGTTTCAGCCAAATAAACGCATAAATTTGTTATTGAATTTATACGCAAAAGCAGGAACTCAAAATTTTTGGGAGGACAAACCGTGTAAAAAGTTTTTGTTTGGAAACAAAAGAGGGATTTGTGCTGGTCACATGTTGGCCATTTATGCACTTGAACTTTTGCTGCTCGCAAAGTTCTGGGGATAGAAAATCGAAGTTTTAATTGGATTTGCGATTCAATTAACAGATTTGTATTTGTCAGCATGTAAACAGTTTTATGATGTCGCAACACAGGACGACAGGACCTTCTGAGCTGCCGATGCAATTGAGTTTTCCACCTTTGAGTGAAATTTATTGAAATTGATTTGCCGTTTTAATAGCATTACATGGCAATGGCATGGGAGAGAGAGAGAGAGCGTTTAATTGAAATCTTTTAATTAGTTTGATTTTCCAATCAAGTGGCATAGAAGACAAACAGGAGTGGCCATTTCCCAGTCCAAATCCCTGCGGTTGAGGGCTTCCTCTCCTCAGATTTCCTCAGATCTCCTCAGTTAAGGAAAGCCAATTAGTTGCAATGCCTTGAAGTATGCTTTTGGGGGCTGTGGGCTACTGTCTCGGTTCGAGTTCGATATCCATTATGTTGTTCACGTCGATTGTCTGTCGATTACAAAATCCTTCCCCACTTCAACCATTTGCCCCGTTGCCACCGGAAAAGCTATGCAAAGCTTTCCCTCCTCCAGACTCATTGCGCAACATAATCATTATCCTTGGCTTAACTCGAGTGGCAGCAGATATACACGGAGTGTTTCGCAGAGTGGCTCTGTGCCAGGCTCTGCCAAAAGGATTTCGCCTATTGATTCCACAAAGTGAAAGCCAAATCCACATGATATCAATTTGCTTTCAACGTTATGCCGCTGGCGTAAATAACCGAGACAGCTGGCTGGCAAAAAGGGGGGTTTTCAGAGGTTTTCGGGACTTTGCGTGGGAGTACAGTATGTAGGGGAGTTCCCTGAAAAGCCGGCGGAACTAAGCGACTTCTAGCGCCTGACAGCGGGTGTTGAGCGGCGAGGAAGTATCAGAGTATCAGAGCTGCGGGTTCAATGGCTCCCCATGAAAGGCAGACATTCGGGCGCGATGCGATGCTAATGATGCGGGGGGGGATAGATATTTGAAACTGCAGCCACATCCGATTCAATTAACTAATTAAGCTGCCAACTGAAACTATTCGT